GTGTGTGTAATAATAAATTTAAATAGCTACTTTTATAGTCGGTTTGGTTCAATTTTTTCGATTATTTTTTGATTAAAACCAAAATCAAATCAAATTTGATGTGTTTTTAAAATTTAAAACTAAAGCCAAACCAAACTTAAAAAGTATAAGATTTTTTGGTCCGTTTCATTTTTTAAAGTTTTTATGAACACCACTAACGCAGACATCGAAGTAAATAGTAGAATTAGGAAGTATGCAAGAGACTTCATTTTCAAATCCTGAAGAGCATCGTCAACTTAATTGAAACTGACAAAAACAAAGCAAATTTAAATACGCAAAAAAGGACAACAACAAAAACTGTGATGTTCCCTGATCAATCAGGGAGCCAAGAATAGATATTCCTTGTTTAGAACTTCAACCTCACTCTTTGATTCCTTCAAGAAAAACCCATTGGTCCAAGCCACTTGACCCTTTTATATATATGTGTGTGTGTGAGAAATATCAGAAAAAACATGGTTTTAAGCAGATGAACTAGTGATTAACTTCCCTTTTAACATTTTTAGTTGCTTTATTTCTCATTCGAAAGAAAATAAAAGGAGAGAGTGAGAGGTGAAAGAAGATGGAAACCGCAGTTCCATTTATAGCGATGGTAGTTCAGCAGTTAGCACAAATTGGATCTATGGTGGCAGCTAAAGTGGCTATGTCAAGTGGGATGACTCCTTTCACTTTTACTTTCTACTCAAGTGCCTTCTCAACTCTCATTCTTATTCCACTGTCCTTCCTGCTCCATAGGTATCTTTTTTCTACATCATTTCATACGAGTTGGGTCAAACTTAAACAAATACAAGTCAAATTATATATTGTGATACAATTCAATTCGTCCAAGCTCTACTTGGATTTAAATGGATTAATATCGGATGGGTCAAATAATGGGTCCTAACTCAGCAAATCCAACATGTCCCATTTCCTTCTGAACACAATTAATGTGAAAGCTATTTATATTTTAAAATTTATTGGCTTAAGCTTTTCTAAATTTACATTATTTTCAATTTCCAAATTTGACTAGTTGGGTTACAGTACTATTTGATATGTTTTGACGTAATAGTTTTATGAATCATTTCGAGTTCAATTCGTTGGGCTAAACAAATAAAAGGATCAATCTCAATTCGTTTAAACTTTGACGAGTTGAATGGATTACTAAAAAATGACTGATTTTGCCACCTCTAAGTAGATTCATTTTTGCGGGAAATGAACTCCTTGTTTCATACTCTTTTTATTTATTTGTTCTTTTTTTTTTTGTGTATATGCAGATCAGCTCTTCCACCTCTTTGGCCAACTTTTCTCAATGGATTTTTCTTGCTTGGCCTAACGGGGTATGTAAATTTGTGCCTCATTTCAACAAATCTATTAGAGAGGACAACAACAAATAATGGTGCAATATTGTAGTTTCTTGATGCAAGTGCTTGGAATTCTTGGACTTCAATATTCCTCTCCATTACTTTCCACAGCAATATTACAACTAATTCCAGGTTTCACCTTCATTCTTGCCGTCATTCTCAGGTTTAAACCTCACCTTTCCTTTTAACCAATTAATTACAATGTTTCTATAGTATTAAACTATTCTATATAAATTCTATATAAATATTCAAATTTTATGGTGTTCTTCACAAGTTTTCTTTTTTGTAGGATGGAAAACTTTGACTACAAGAGTTTGAACACAATGGCTAAATCTGTTGGGACATTGGTATCAATAATAGGTGCACTTGTTGCAACTCTATATAAAGGTCCTCAAGTTTTTGGAAGCCCTTTGAATTCAATATTAACAGCTCCTTCTCATTTTCTACTCAACCAATCTTCTGCTTGGGTAATTGGGGGTTTGCTTATGATGATTACCTCTCTAATAGCTTCAGTATTTACCATTTCACAGGTAATTAATTAATATTACCAAGAAATATGCTTTCCCTAATAGACATTAATTTGATAAAAAAAAAGTGAAATGATCAATTTTCCTTTGTTTCATGTTTTACAATTGCAGGCATTTGTCCTTAAGAAATACCCGGCAGAGCTGATTGTAATGTTGTTTTATAGCAGCTGTATTACAATTTTGTGTGCTGCTTTCTCTTTAATTACTGAAAGAGACTTGAATTCTTGGAGCGTAAGCCCTCATAGCAGATTAAAGGCTCTCATATACTCGGTAATTAAGTAGATATATATGTTCCTTGATGCATGAATATGTACATTTAATTTACCATTATATGTGAATTGCTTGAAAGTAAAATACATCAAATTTGGAGGGTCAAAGAGTTTTAGTAAACGTATTTTATGGGGAAAAATGTGAATGAATTTACCCCCAAATACTCGAGTCCCTAGAGATAGATTTATTTTTAAAAAAAAAAAAAAAATTGGCAAGTGCAGAGTTTCTTTGGAAATGTATTCCAAGTGAGTATATGCTCATGGTGTGTGAGGAAAAGAGGACCTCTCTTTGTTGTCATGTT